AGTAACAGAGGTCAGACAGAAGATACTCTGGTTTCTCCTGCAGATAACGTATTTCTAAGGTTTGGTGAATGGTCACTTCAGAGATGGACAGCAATAGGAGAACAGTATGTATGACAACACAGGACAGCAAGGGCTTCTCACCTTAAACTTTTGTCCTAAAAAAGATTATAATACTTTCTTACCAATCTAGAGTATATCATAGTAGTTCTGTCACCAATTAATATTTAATTTACCCCATCTAGGTGTGCAGCAGGTCAGACAACACAAAGATGACTATCCTCTCTAGCCTTCAAGTGGCTGACCTGGTTATGATTAATTCTTTGAGAGGCAGAACCAATAAAGACTGATTTAACATGGATTTATATTTGAAGGCTGAGTGCCCAAGTGCATTCTCTGATATCTAAGGACTGAACTCCTTTAGAAACGTTTCCTTCAACTGGGGAATTGTAGTCTGTCAGTTTTCTACCTAGTCATTAAGTTCAGTAAAACATGTGGAAAATACTACCACTGAATTTCCTGGTGAACATCAACCAAATTTGACAGAAGGGTAAAATTCTCTGTGATAACTTTATACCTCTGTCAAACTCAGTTAATAGGAATAAATTCAGACATTACTGAGAAAAGAGGAAAGCAACTGACAGATAGACATATACAGACAAAATTAAACTGTAAGACTTGCTTCCTTTAGAAATTACTGAAGAAATAAACAATGGAAGGCACTACATGCAGATGGAATGGAACGAGGCATCTGCTGCTTTAGCAACACATGTCAGAGAATGATCACAAATTACAGGTGGAAGGATGTAGAAAAAAATGTATAACTTTATAACTCATAGCATGCAATTTCGTAACAAAAATCGTATTCAGTAGAAAGTCACAAAAGTCACAGGACAGCAATACAGAGATTCACAAATATGAGAACTCAATGCACAGAAGAAGTCTGCTGAAAATTTTCAGATTTAGCTTTTAAACTTCCAGTCAAAGATAAACTTTGAGAAGGACAGTAGAGTTGCTTATAGATGGGGTTTGCTTTCTGCCCAAAGAAGACAGGGTGACAGTGGTAGGGGAAGAATGGTATGCTGGCTACAAAGAATGGCCCTCTCTGTGGGGGAGAATGGGGGCAATGACTTGGTGGCATAAGAAAGATTGGGAAGAGCCTCAGATGAAGTGTAGGAAAAGAATAAGTCCTTGCTGACATCTGCCCAAGTGCAGCAATGAAATTGGCAATTATTGCACCAATACAGAGCGAATAGGAAAACTGCATAAACATAGCTTGTCTGAAGAAACTTCCATTAGTCCAACTTCAAGCAAAGACGTTCATGAACACACAAGCTGCCTTTTCAGCACCTGGCTTACCACACCACTGGAGGCCATCAGCTGTTTCTCCTGCTCTACAGCTGCTCCCCTTCCCCTCCACGTTGCCTCTCCTCTGCCCATTGTTCCCACTCTGCTGAGTGAGGAGTGGGGTCTCAAAGAAAGCCCATCCTGGCTGCCCAGCTGAATTCCCACCCTCAAACCCTGCTCAGCCAGCTCTGCTCTTCTGAATCAGAGAAAAGAAATGGCTTCCTCAGAGGAGGGGAAGCAAGCAATTAAAATTGTTTTTTACAACCCCTGCTATGGTTTCTGAAAATATTTACAGCAAAGTAACACACTACAACATGCTTAGGTGTAAGACTGTAAGAAATTGATGGTCATGTTCTAGTCACTCAAATTCACAGTCAGCAAAATAGCTGGCCACATCACATGCTGTCTTACACCAGTTAGTTCTTCATCCAACATTCAAAAAGTCTTGACTGTTCTGACCCTCAAATTAGCATGAACCTACACTCTGGACCGATCATTCATCAGCCAAAGTATGTGGGCGATAGCCTGACATCTGTCAGCACAGTAGGCCATGGAGTATTACATTGTGTCTCTGCATAGCTGCAGAAACAGAGGCCAAAAGGTGCATTATCATCTAATACACCTTGCTTTTCAACTAGTTGGTGTATTTGAAATCCCTACACAGCTGAATGAGGACAAATGATGCTATAAAACTGGCATCAAAGTTGAATGATGATTGTATCTTGCTGAGTTCTGAATGTTTTGTCTCCTTTTTTTGTTATTACATACATTTTTTCCATCTAATAACCAGGACCTAAAATGGATAACTGTTTAAAGTTAGACATTAATGAAAAACACTATTAATAGTGAGGCACCCAAACCAATTTTATGTGGAAGTTCACTGCTCAAGGTCGCTGTTAACAGATTAGATATTCTGAAACAATATAACAATATGCAGATGGGTGTTACAGTTTACAGACAGTGATTGCGTGGATGGCCCTTTCAGCACAAGTTTTCTGATTTTTCATTTGGTCTTTCTGTCCCATGCTTTATCACTAAAAATCATTCCAAACTAAACACAAGGCATGGATATCTCCAAGCTCTGGGGAAGTTTTGCATAAAGACCCTGACTTTGTGCTCTTTATTTTAGCTGTTAGTCAACACATATAAAACCCTATACTTTAACTTAATTTAATGTCATGTTGAATTCTCATCAGCCTAAAATAAAGATTATACATGCTCCCAGAATTGTGCTTTGCAGGGCAAAAAAGATGTACAAAATATCACACCATGGCAGAATGAACCCAGTCTGGACCATGCCCCACTGTACTGGTATATTAGTACCCCTGTGCTATCACTGAAATGTTACATGAGATGGAGTAAAAAGGATGTCTTTGCAGAACAAGGCCTTTATTGAAGCAGAGCAGTGAAACTATAAAGTAAGGAGGTATCATAGCTGCACTTAAAACATTTTAAAGTTCTTAAACTCCTTTCCTTTTATATCTATCAAGGTCTGATTTAATATGACAAATAATATGCCCATAAGGTTCTCCAGAATATTTTATTAAAATACACTTAATGATAAACAAAAGCCTCTTTCTCTTTCCCTGCAGGTTATGCCTATTCTCTACAAACCCCTTCTTGTTAATATTTGAAGCTACGTATACTCATGTATATATTACTATATACTCTTTTTCTACAGCACTGTCAACATTGTACACAAATTTATCTAAAAATTTCTTAGTGTGACAAATTGTTCCAGATATGACCACACATCAGTATGATTCCTTTTGATAAAATTCCTGATAATACATCTTTTTTTATGTATGCTTCCATGAGTTATTTACAGTTTGATAAATGCACATTTAGCTAAGTGGTCTAGTATAGTCACAAGAAAAGTCACAAGAAAATAAACTGCACTTTACAAATGAGAAGTGAATACATTCACAAATATTGAGTTTTCTAGACTTTGATGCTGAATGAATCAATCTACAAAGTCTATGAAACTGTGGAAACAGTTAAACATCTCATATTACATGCAATAGCTGCTACTAATTAATATATATTCACATATGAATATGTGCATTTGTGTATGGGTATAAATGCGTGTGTATACATGTATGTGTGTATATGTATGTGTCTATGTATACATGTGGCAGCTGGATTAAAATGATTTTTATTTTGAGGCTTCATTATATATGTCTCAATATATATTTCAATGTTCCAGTTTCAAATGACTTCAGATTAACCATGCCAAAACTGCAATTATATTGTGTAATGAACAATGTTCTTTAGTGTAATACACAGCTGCAGTTGCAGTAAAAAATGCCATGTGCTCAGCCATGAGGAACTCGATACTGATTAAAGCTGTGTACAGAGGTTACAATTAGAGCATGCATTTATCACAGTTCCAGAATAAAAAATCCAAAACATAATCGTAACAGTATTTTTAATTTCTCAGCCTCATTGCTAAAGTTTTATATGGTACACCAGTTTTACTGCAGCTTCCTTTTCACTGCAATTTTATTGGGCTAAGGAAGATTAATTATCCATAAATGACAATAAAACTAAATTCTGAATGAAATTCTGAGGGTTTTTTTAAACCACTTGATTTTCTAACTTCTTCTGTAGTCCTGCTATTAATGAAATGGAGCACAAGCAGAGACTGCTAAACTGTATTTTCAATAACATTATGTCAAGAACCTGGCTAAACCAGGTTGGATTCATACAGTCAGATTTTCTTATTGATATATTAAAAAAGCAGATATCAACCCTAATTGGAAATGTTCTTTTCCAGCTTTTTATTGTAATATTTTTTCCTTCAGTGTTACCTGTAACTATTTTATGCCCTCCACCTCTTTCTAATTCAATGGTAATTTTTTTCACAAAAAAGAAGACAAACAATTAGGAAAAGAGAAAAGAAAAACTTACAGGTAAGGGAAAAATTAGTTAATTTTATGTATTCAGGAGGAAAATATACAGTTTCTATAATTTCAGGCAACCCTAATGTGAGGGGACTGTCAACGTAGGTACACAGGCCAACCTGCCATCCAAGAGGGTCTGTGGCAGAAGCTACTAATGGGGTACAAGGTGCTGACTGAGATCCATCTTGCAAAGGTAGCTGGACAAAGACCATGAAGTGGCTAGAAAAGCAAGGAGGGGAAATTCCCTGAAATGACGAGGTAAGTGATGATAAGGCAATTAAAATCACAGGGTTGAGATTTCTAGTTTATTTTCTGCTAACGTTAATTCAATTTATTTGCTGCTCCTACAATCTTCCTGCGGGGAGAGGCAAGGGGGAATCATCACTGCATTTTACCTCTTACTTCACAGGGGTATTGTGAGAATAAATAAAGATGTTGAGCTGAGGAGATACATTGGTAGAGGGGAGCATAGAACTACGTAGGTAGACAGACTCTCACTATAATATTATTGTAAAAAACCTTAAATAAAATGTGTATATATTTGTTCAAACTAAATCTGAATTTGCCCTCTTGAATCCTGCCTCTTCGTGTGTAAGTGTGACACATCCTTAAGCGCACTGATTTCCACAGGGTTGGGTTTAGCCTTTACACTAATGAAAGCCAAATACAATTTCAAGAGACTGTATTAGTTCAGCACAGGCCCCAGTTCCCCACATCATGAGCACATATTGTAAGCAAATTCTTAAGACTTACGATGGTTCTTCAGACACCACTGCTCCTTCCTCCAGCTCTTGAGCCTGCTTATACCACGGCAACTTTGCTTCCACAGGAAGTTTCTCTACGGACCAAACACAAGCATGTGAAAATAAGAAGCACGCGGTGATGCTGCTATGTGTGCCAACCTCCCTTCTCTCACCAAGCATTGCTGTGATGCACATGTGCCTTCATCCACATGGAGGCTGAGCACAGAGAAGAAAGAGAGAGAAAGGAGAGCAGGAGAGAGAGAAACTCACTCCTCCGTCACCTGGACTATAACACTTACAAGGTTATATGGTCAGATAGTTCATTGTTGCAGCTAGAAGGGCTGTGGCGTTCTAATGCTAGAAAGGCAAATTAAGTCACTTTTCAGACTACGCAACTGGACTGTAAAAGTAGGCCCTTTGGAAAGTATTTTTTGGAGAGAGTCTTGTAAGTGTAACAGGCCTCCATTGACATTGCAAAGGCAAAATGTGTAAAATCTCTGTGTTTACCCTTAAATTTTAGAACTTCAGAAGACACATTAAGCTCATTTTTGATAGATTACATACAGGAGGAAAACGCTAATTTGATGAGTGATACCAGAGAAAACCAGAGAAACTGTAATAAAATGGCCCAGCTATACTTTTCAACTTTAAGTTTATCAGTTCATCAGCTATGTGGATTTAAAAAAAAACAAGCTTGATACTTTTTCTGTCATTTCTGATGGAAAACAGTAGAGCTGTTTTTCTTCCCCTCCAGGATGTGCGCGCAGCATAATGAGCTGCTCTGCTCTGGGGAGTGCAGGGCCATGCTGCTTCGTGAGCCAAACTCTGCTTTCATGTGGTGTCAAAAGGGGAGTATTTTAGCTGAAGGCGGTGGAGCTGTTTTAGCTCTATAATTTGAGAAGGAGCTCTGCATTTCAACAAAATGTTCTAGGCTAGGATCAGGGGAAAAAACACAAATAAAAGGGAGTGAGACTCACACCACTGAGGAGAACCAGGGCCAGACCTATTTGCCACTCACAAATCACCTAAACCTTTTGGGTTTATTTAATGCACAGACTTGCTCTTGCCAACAGGAGCAGATTAATGTCATTCAGAATAGTTGGGAATTTTCTGTGACTGTTGCGCACAACAGTGAACCTTTCACGTATGCTCACAAAATTTCCCACCTGTCAGTTTTATCAGAGGAACAACAACTTACAACTTGATTTCACAGCTACTGCAACTTTAGTCAAGCAAATTTCCTTGGAGCAAGTTACTAATTGAGGAAAAAAAGGACAGTAATAGAGTTACTATGCCTCTCTCAGAAATAGCTTGTCAAGCTCTTAGTCTAACATATTTATTAGTGCCATTTAAGGATGAATATTTGCCAGCACAGCTCTTAGTTTAATCTACATTTTACTGCATTTGTTATCCAAAATATGTAGGATATATTTCTATTTATACATTCTGCAGCTTGTTTTATGGGTTTTGGAAAGCCAGATCTTACTTCTGTCTTTTTTGCTTGGATGCAAGTGCTTGTAAAAAGCAAAAGCTCTTGTGTACCATTGCCTGTTATGTGACTTTTAAAATAACTTTTCTTTTTTAGAGGTATAGTTAATTATCATCTACATCATCTGTAAAATGAGTTAGAGAGTTAGAAATGTTGTTGCACAGTGTGCTTCAAAAAAAAAAAAAAAGAGTAAAAAGCACTCCTAACATAAACAGAGGAGGAATTTTTATGTTTGCAGATTAAAGCAAAATCTCTTCTTTTATAATACAGTTCCAGTAAAAACACTTAAATCTTATACAGAAAGTTGTATTAGATGAATACACCTTATCTATTAAAACTGAAAATCATTACTTAATCCAGGGATATCCTATTTTTTCTCATTATTGGTGTACGAGAAAGTTCCTCAGTTCTTGAATAAACTAAAATGAAATAAATTATTTTACATTCTATTTGCATTCTATCTCTGTTTAGCACAGTGTGTTAAAAGAAGAGGGAAGTCCACATTTTTTGTCTTGCTTCTTTAGTCAGCTAGGAAGATTGTTTTTCTGCTTTATGTTAATCCAGCTCCAGAAGAGAAAAACAGACTAAGACTAAAACATACAATAGAGGAGAGGTACTTTGCTATCCTTACTGCTCTAAATTTCTAACTCTAGGTTCGTGAAATAAAAAGGACAAACTTCCAGCGCAGAAATAGAATAACTTGGATTGGAAGAGACCTCTGGATATCACATGGTCTAACTCTCTTCTGAAAGCACGATTCAGCCTTCAGGTGCATGGGTCTTCAAACATTGCCACTTGTGTTATGGAGGAAGAACTGTGAGAATATTACAGAACCAAGATGAGGAGTAAAATCAAACCCAAGCAAAACAGTATGCTTTGTGTAGGACTGTCCATCCCATGCAAAAAAATGGAAGACAGAAATAACTGCCTACAATTAGAAATTAATCATGTATGTACTGCAAAGGGCACCACAAGAGTTTATCAAGGGTAAAGATGCCATTCCGTTGCAAGGGTAGGCTTCCAGCAGCCAGCAATTTACTTTGTTCCCAAGACAAGTGCTGTTGGAATAGACTACTTGGCAGCTGCAGGCAAGCAAAACTTTCCTAGCTGGTCTTGCACCCTTCTCAGGTTCCCTAGACAGAAGTCAGTTGCGTGCGGTTTGCAACACCTGATTTTTTGGTGTTTTACTACATTTTGCTTACACCGTATGCTGCAGGCAGACAGGATCTTACTTTACCTGCAGTCTGAACACCATAAACAGATAAGGCACCATAAAAGCAACTGAGTGACTGAGCCCAAACCCACTGAATCTCTGTATGAGGATCAGAGTCATGCTAACACAGTCACAGGGTCTTTTTTTTCATCTTGGCAGATGGATGGAGTGAGCTCAAGTCAGCCAGCAAAATACACTGCAAACATACCCATTGCTCCCCTGAGGCCTTATGTCTGGGCTTCCCCACTTCGGTGGCTGGCAGACACAGTGAATTCTCATGGTCCAGATAAACTGGAATCTTGAAACTTGGCAAGTCAGCCCATCATGCTGGGAAAGATTATGGAGTGGTTGATATTGAGTGCCCGCTCAACAGGCATGTGCAGATCAACTGGTGGATTGGGCCCAGCCAGCATAGGTTCATGAAAGGCAGGTCCTGCTGGACCAACCTGGTCTCCTTTTATGCCCTGGTGCCCCGCCTGGTGGATGAAGGAAAGACTGTGGATGGCATTTACCTGGACTTCAGCAAAGCCTTTGACACCATCTCCCATAGTATTCTCCTTGGGAAGTTGGCAGCTCACGGCTTGGATGGGCGTACTCTTTGCTGGGTAAAAACTGGGTGGGTAGCCAAGCCCAGAGAGCAGTGGTGAATGGAGTTCAATGCAGTTGGTGGCCGGTCACGAGCGGTGTTCCCCTGGGCTCCATTTTGGGGCCAGCCTTGTTTAATATCTTTATCAACGATCTGGATGAGGGGATTGTGTCCTCAGTAAGTCTGCAGATGACACCAAGCTCGGTGGGAGTGTCGATCTGCTGGAGGGTAGGATGGCCCTGCAGAGGGACCTGGACAGGCTGGGTCGATGGGCCGAGGCCAGCTGTATGAGATTGAACAAGGCCAAGTGCCGGATCCTGCACTTGGGTCACAACAACCCCATGCAATGCTACAGGCTTGGGGGAGAGGGGCTGGGGGGCGGAGGG